CTCTACCAAGGGTGACAGAGTGAGACTCTGTCTCTAAAAAAAAAAAAATAATAATAATAATAATAACATGTTCCTGTATATAATGTGTATCCACGTTTATGGCCCAAATTTTTAGGCAAAAGTATATCGTTTTAATTTTTTAATTCAAATTTTTACTTGTTTATATTTAGGTACTTTTTTATATTATAAAGGAATTTTGCAAAAATATCAGCTAGATTGCTAGCCCCTGCCTGAAGTATACAAAGAGAAATACATCACTCTTTGTTGGCTGAAATGCTTTTATTGCAAGTTTGTCATAAGTTCGATAAAACTGGTTACCATATTGCAGGTACCATATATCTTATTTTGCATACAGATATTAGTGCTATCTAGAGTTATACTTTTATAAGTATGCTTATACTTAAGCATAAGTGAAAGAATTAAAAAATTTATATACATACAGAATTAGTACTACCTAGGAATAATGTGCATCCTTATTTTTCCCTTAAAAATTTGGGTAAAAATATGTGTATTCACTCATCACCTGTAGTTCAGTGGTTACGGCGCTGGCCACATAACACCAGGGCTGGCAGGTTCAAACCCAGCCTGGGCTTGCTAAACAACAATGACAACTACAACAAAGAATAGCCGAGTGTTGTGGCAGGGCACCTGTAGTCCCAGCTATTTGGGAGGCTGAGGCAAAAGAATCACTTAAGCCCAAAAGTTTAAGGTTGCTGTGAGCTGTGACACCACAGCACTCTACCAAGGGTGACATAGTGAGACTCTGTCTCAAATAAAAAAGTGTGTATTGTACCTAGAAAGATAAAATAATTAGATAGTGAGAATGAACAGTATTTCATAGAACAACAAAGTGATTAGAGTACACCAAAACCTGCTAAAAGCAAAACTCCGGAAGTTATATTTTCAGCCCAACTCCTAATGCCGAGGAAGTTTGACAAGCTCCTCCATCACGGGACCAGCGGCCTGTCTTCATTGTCTTAGGACAGTGGTTCTGAGAGTCTGGTTCCTGGACCAACAGCATAAGCGGGAACTTGTTAAAAATACAAGTACCCTCTTGCCCTAAGCGGCCTAAGGTGATCAGTGAAAATGGTTTACTATTCACTTGACCCAGAAAACCTCTCAAAGTCATGTAAGTCAAGAGGTTCCAATCTTCGTGTTCACTTTAAGAACACACTTGAAACACTTGAAGGCCATCAAGGGCAGGGGTCCTCAAACTTTTTAAACAGGGGGCCAGTTCACTGTCCCTCAGACCATTGGAGGGCTGGATTGTGGGCCCCGGGACTAGTCAGCTGCTAAGCAGAACAGGGAGTGGCAGCAAAAACACCCGGCGGGACAGATAAATGTCCTAGGCAGGCTGCATGTGGCCCATGGGCCGTAGTTTGAGGATGCCTGATCAAGGGTATGCATAGACAAAAAGCCACCAACTACTGGAAGGATGTCACCTTAAAGAAACAGTGCGTACCATTCTGACGTTACAATGGTGGCGCCGGTAGGTGTGCCCAGGCCAAACAGTGGGGCTGAACCCAGGGTCGGTGGCCCAAAAAGAGTGCTGAATTTTTGTTGCACATGCTTAAAAAGGCAGAGAGTAATGCTGAACTTAAGGCTTTGGATGTAGATTCTCTGGTTATCGAGCACATCCAGGTGAACAAAGCACCCAAGATGCAGCGCCAACGTTAGAGAGCTCATGGTCACATTAACCCATACGTGAGCTCCCCCTGCCACATCAAGAACATCCTTGCTGACAGGGAACAGATTGTTCCCAAACCAGAAGAGGAAGAGGCACAGAAGAAAAAGATAGCTCAGAGGAAACTAGAAACAAAAACTTAAGACACAGGGATGGATGCAACATAAAATAAATGCAAATAATGATAAAAAGAAAAAATGGGCCCCCCTCCAGACCATTGAATCAGAAACTCTGGAGTGAGACCCAGAAATCTATGTTTTAACAAGACTTCCAGGGGATCCTGATACATGTTTAAGTTTGGGAACTACTGCCTTAGTGCATGAGACTTGCTGTCAGCCTTTTCCTAATTCACGGGCTGGTGCTGGAAGACGCCAAGTGGCCTGGGATGTGGTGATACATCTAACCAGGAAGGGGTTGGTCCCTTCCAGAGCTGGAAAATGTCAAGAGGTCAGGTCATTTTAGAGACTGGTCTTAAGGGGACAGAGAGCATTGAGATTGGCTTTAACAATCTATCTCTGTGTTGATTGCTTGAAGAAAGCGCCATATACCAGCCCTGTCCAATAAAACTTTTTGTGGGGATAGGAATGTTCTGTACCTGTGCTGCCCAGTATGGTGAGCACTGGCCACATGTGGTTTTACAGCACTTGAAATGTGGCCAGTGTAACTAAAGAAATGAAATTTTAATTTTATTTAATTTTGATTAATTTTAATTTAAATCACCACCTGAGGCTGGTTTGCCATACTGGACAAACCATACTCCAGTTCCTGCGTTTCTCATGGTGACCACTCCCCTGTTAAGACAGACTGGTTGCAAGTCAGGGTCTGTGATTCAGAGCTGGCTGATCACAGCCACTTTAAGGTGACACCCACCCAAAAGAATATAATTTTCCCAAACAACAATTTTTTTCAATGTTTTAAACTTGGGAGAATAAAAAGTGGGTACAAGACTATCATTGCTAAGTTTGGGGGGGAGGGGTTTGCAGGGTTTTTTTTTTTTGGCCAGAGCTGGGTTTGAACCAGCCACCTCTAGCATATGGGGCCAGCGCCCTACTCCCTTGAGCCACAGGCACTGCCCAATTGCTAAGATTTTTTTTGAGACAAAGTCTCACTATGTCACCCTCAGTAGAGTACGGTGATGTCACTGCTCACAGCAACTTCAAACTCTTGGGCTTAAGTTAGATTCTCTTGTCTCAGCCTCCCAAATAGCTAGGACTACAGGTGCCCTGCCACAATGCTCAGCTATTTTTTGTTGTAGTTGTCATCATTGTTTAGCAGGCCTGGGCCAGTTCGAACCTGCCAGCCTTGGTATATGTGGCCGGCACCCTAACCACTGAGCTACGGGTGCCAAGCCCATTGCTAAGATTTTTTAAATTATTATTATTATATTTAGTGACTGATAATAAACAGCATGTTGATGAATTATAGCAGTAATTTTAGAGAGAGAGTCAGTGACCACATAAACCACACAAGTAAAGATTAGAATTTAATTTAAGCCAGGTGATTGTGCAGGACTTGGGCAGTCCTAAGGGATGACTCAGATTAGAATCAAGTCAAAGCAACAAGAGAAGGGAGAGGAAGAGAGAAAAGTGCCATGGGCACGGAGACAGGATCGGCCCCACTCAGAGGCAATGCCTCTGAGTCATCCAAGGTTTATTTTTAGGTTTGTGAGTTTCAAACATTTTTTTCTGTGACTATTTTTATTCTTAGAGAGTTTCCAAATCTTAAATTTGGAGATCAGTCACATACTGTCTGGACTGGGAGAAGCATCACAGCATCATATTTTTAAAACAAGAAGCAAACCCAGTTAGCTCAAAGGAGGTGTCAGGGTTTTTGTCGTACTGCGTTTGACAAACTTGAAGCCAGTGGTTCTCAACCTTCCTAATGCTGTGATGTATTTTCATTATTACAAAGGGGCTGAGAACCGCTGCAGTTTAAGTGCTTTTGTATTTGAGCTTAATTCTGTTTACCTTTTTCTCCTTTTCTGACTTTTTCATTATATAACTCTTTTCATTAAAAAGAATTTTAGGGGTGGTGCCTGTGGCTCAAAGGAGTAAGGCACTGGCCCCATATACCAGAGGTGGTGGGTTCAAAACCTGGCCCAGGCGAAAAACTGCAAAAAAAGAAAAAAAGAATTTTAGGCCGGACGGGGTGTCTCATGCCTGTAATCCTAGCACTCTGGGAGGCCAAGGCAGGTGGATTGCTTAAGCTCAGGAGTTTGAAACCAGCCTGAGCCAGAGTGAGACCTCTGTCTCTACTAAAAATAGAAAAATAAGCCACTCATTGTGGCTAGTGCCTGGAGTCCCAGATACTTGGGAAGCTGAGGCAAAAGGATCATTTGAGCCCAAGAGTTTGAGGTTGCTGTGAGCGATGATGACGCCATGGCACTCAATCCCAGGGTGACAGACTCTATCTCAAAAAATAATAGTTAAAGAAAATAAAAGAATTTTTAAAACATACAGGCAAAACAAAAGGGGAGAATGGATGCATGTCATTATCCATTTGTCCAAACCCACAGAATGTGCAACACCAGACCCTAACACGGACTTGAGTGATACCAACGTGTTAGTGTAGGTTCACCCACTGTAACAAATGTATCCCCATGGTACAGTTGAAAAGGGAGGAGTATGTACATATAGAGGGGCAGTGGGCATGTGGGAAATCTGTGGACCTTCTTTTCAATTTTGCTGTAAATCTAAGACTGCTCTAAAACAGAATATAGGCTCACCATCCACAGTGGTTAGGGCCCTGGCCACATACACCAGGGCTGGAGGGTTTGAACCTGGCCTGGGCCTGCTAAACAACAATGACAACTACAACAAAAAAATAGCTGGGTGTTGTGGTGGGCAGCTATAGTCCCAGCTGCTTGAGAGGCTGAGACAAGAGAATTGTTTAAGCCTAAGAGTTTGAGGTTGTGAGCTGTGATGCCACGGAACTCTACCGAGGGCAACATTATAAGACTCTATCTCAAAAATAAAATGAAAGAAAAGAAAAATAAAAGAATACAGTATTTTCTTAATGAAGAGAAGATCATTGGTAGACCTATCATTTATTTATGTATTATTATTATTTTTTTGTTTTGCTTGTACGAAAGGTCTTTATTGGCGGGGGAGAGATGCTGTAGAGCAGCACTAAGGAGGAAAGAAAAGAGGAGAGAGCAGAGAGGAGAGAGAGGCAGAGAGAGAAGGAGAAGGAGGAGAGAGGGAAGAGAGAGCAGAGAGGAGAGAGAGGCAGAGAGAG